GCCATTGGGGTCCCCCCACCCCAAACTCCTCCTCCCCCATTCCGGGGTCCCCCCAATATTGGGGTGGGGGGTTCTGGACACCCCAATCCCCCCTCACCCCAAACACCTGCACCCCCCACAGTATCGGGGTGTTTTTGGGGTGGTCTCCTGGGTTTTGGGGGGCAGGAGGGGGGGGGGTTACCCCCAAACCCGGGGGTCCCCCCTGACTTTGGGGTCCCCTCAGCCCCCCCAGGGATCCGGTGCTGGAGGGGCTGGTCCAGCGCTGCGTCCCTGTGCAGGTGAGACCCCTCCCCAAATTCGGGGTCACCCCCTGTTTTGGGGTCCCCTCACCCATCTCGGGGTCCCTGTGAATTTTGGGGACCCCCCCCCCTCGGGATTTTGGGGACCCCCTTGACACCCCCCATTCCCCCCCAGTGCCGCCCGGCCACCGACGAGGAGCTGCTGCTGGTGCACAGGTGGGGAGGGGCTTTGGGGGGATTTGGGGGGGCTGGGGGAGGTTTGAGGGGCGGCTCGGGGTGATTTGGGGGGCACTGAGGAATTTGGGGGGGCTGGGGGAGGTTTGGGGGGATCCCTGTGGGGTTTGGAGGGGTCTCTGTGGGGTTTGGGGGGCCCTGAAGGGTTTGGGGGTCCCCAGGGGGAGGATGGGAGCACCGGGGGTCCCCCAGGATTTTTGGGGGTCCTCAGGGGGAGGATGGGAGCACCGGGGGTCCCCCAGGATTTTTGGGGGGAGCCTCTGGGGACCCCCAGACCCAAAACCTGAGCCCGGTTTTGGGGTCCCCCAGCCCCTCGTTCGTGGCACAGCTGGAGCCCCCCGACAGCCCCCCCCAGGTGAGCACCCCCCGATCTCGGGGTCCCCCCAGGGGGGTCCCCAAAGCCCTGCGAGCCTCGGCGGGGTTTTGGGGTCCCTGGGGGGTTTTGAGGGGTCCTTCTATGGGGTTTTGGGGACCCCCTGATTCTAAGTATTTTCTGTGGGGATTTTGGGGTCTCACTGGGGGTTTTGGGGTCTCACTGGGCACCTGGGGGGGGTCCCTGGGGGGTTTTGGGGGGTCCTTTCCATTGGGGTTTTGGGGTCCCCCAACACTGGGTCCTGTCCATCGGGGTTTTGGGGTCCCCCCCCTCAATTCCAGGTCCCCCCATTGGGGTTTTGGGGTCCCCCCCTCAATTCCAGGTCCCCCCCCGGGGGGTTTTGGGGTCTCACTGGGGGTTTTGGGGTCCCCCCCCTCAATTCCAGATCCCCCCCATTGGGGTTTTGGGGTCTCACTGGGGGTTTTGGGGTCCCCCCTCAATTCCAGGTCCCCCCCACTGGGGTTTTGGGGTCTCACTGGGGGTTTTGGGGTCCCCCCAAACCCTTGGGTTCCCCCCGAGGGTTTTGGGTCCCGTTTTTGGGGTTGTGCCCCCACCCGCGGGGTTTTTGGGGC